CTGAAACTCTTCCAAGTCCCAGGCCACCACTAACTGCTCCAAAAGGGAACCCCAACTCAAGGACCAACAAGCCCAAGCTGACCTGCAGGGTTGGTCACCATTACCAATGCCCCAAGACCCTAGGGCGGCTCCTGAAACATCTTCAGATACATTCAGCCCGCAGACTCAGGGAGCAGCCGCCCCTCCCACTTTCTGATTTCTGGAGAAAGCGACGTCTAACATTTCTGGGTCAGTATGCCAAGGTCTTAGTTTGATCTGAGAAAGCCAGATACTCCCAGTGGCCTCTTTTCAGAGAACAGTAATGGAGAGGCATTTTCTATTGTTCCTTTGTTTTTCTGTCTTCATGGGTGTTTGGGAACAGTTGTAGGTGAACGTGGATGGACGGGGTGGGGAAAACGGAGGTTAGGCAGGAAGAGCACAGGCTCTAGTAGATTTCGTGAGCCAATAAGAGCACAAGTAGGGCAGTGCCCCTGACCTAAGGGAGGCTGACTTCTGAGGCTTCCCAGCGCAGAGTTGAGCACTGTGGTGACTGAGGTCTGCTGGAGGCATGTTGGCGGTGGCGGTGGGAGGCTCTCCCTTTCCTCAGCTTTAATCCCTTCCTCTCTTGTCCCACCTCTTCCCTTTCCACCATCCTGTGTGCATTTTGTTTGTGTTTTTCTTAGACCCCAAAGTGTCTGCATTGAGCTGTTAATACTGGTTCTTCTGGGGTGATGTGACTATCATTCACTTTTAAATTTTTGTATAGTTTTGATATTAGCTTGTCGCCTTGTGTTTTTGTTACTTCTGACATTAACATTGATTGTGTTTTCCTTCCTTTACGGCACCCATCCTCCAAGCATTTTGGCGCAGAAGTTATTCTTTCTTCTGTCCCAGCCTGATAAAAATTTCTACTTCCCAAATATCTTCTCAGCTCGCTAGTACGCAAGCTGTCTAGTTAGAGTAATTCTACGGATATGTGTATAAGAGGGGGTGACGTTGACAGTGACGATTATCCGGGGACGGCTGGGGGCCATCTGCGGTGCCCTGGCCTGGTATCTCACTATCACTGTTACCTTGTTCAAGTGTTGAGAATGTCTGTTCAGATGCCTGTCTCTCTGGTCTACTTTTGAATGTAACATACGAAACTAAAGTCAATCATTCAGTTAATCAATCAAGCTACCACTTTTGCTAATACTACCGGGCTCTCAAAGTTTTGGGAAGGCCTTTTTTTCTCATCTGTGTTCATTTGCTTCATTTTCTTCTAAATCTGGTGGAAATGCAGGCAGTAGGGTGAGGGAGATGGAGGGTGAAGGGAGAACCACTTGTCTTTTCTTTTTTTTGTTGTTGTCTTTTTTTGTGACAGGGTCTCACTATGCAGTTCAGGATGGCCTTGAGCTCACTTTGTAGCCCAGGCTGATCTCGAACTCACAACAAGCCTCCTGCCTCAGCCTCCCGAGTGCTGAGATTACAGGTGTGCGCCACCATACCTGGCCCACCTCTCTTTTCAAAGATCAAAATCCATCGACCTGGGAGTCTTATGAATTTTTTTTTTCTCAAAGGAACACAGCCACAAGATATAACTTACAGTGGGTAACTACGGAGACCTAAAACACAAACTACTTTGCTATGTATTCTTGATTCTAGATTGGGAGAACTCGGCAATGACTCTCTGACTACCACTCCATTTTCCCTGGAGCACCGGGATAGAGAACAGCCTCCTGAAGGAGACACATTTGTCACACCAAACACGCACTTTGCCCTTAGATGGTGTTCTCGTACTGCACAGAAAACAAAATTCCTTAAAACGAAAATCAAATGTTCACTTAAGAAGTGAAATGAGACTAAAATTGCAACCCTCAGTAAGGCCTATATTATTTGGGGGAAAAACTAGTGAATAAAAACAAAAGTTAAATCATAACCTTTACCTGAACCAGCTCCTCCTCTTTCTAAAAATGTGTTATTCCTGTAGCAGGAGAATAATTCACTCGGCCTGACTAAGTTTGTTACCACATAGCTGGCATGGTTGTCTCACGCAAGCACCGAGAAGATATGAAGCTAAATCAACAGACCCTGATTTGTTGGCTCTCCCAGGTATAAACTAGCCACTGAGAAATCAGGCAGAAAACAGAGGACAAATAGATGAAGGAGACAAGCCACAGCTTGTAGGAAAGAAAATGTTTGCAGGAAACTCCAGCATTACAGGTTTATCTAAGGTGTGGTCTGGGGTTAGCCGCGGTAATTACCCAGGATTCGCAGCAAGTGGCTGAGAAACGAATTGCTTCACAGGTTTAACCCTTTCACCCTGCCCTTAGACAGTTTTGCAGAGGGGATCACACTATGGCCAGGTGTAGGTTAAGCTAGAATTGTTTTTACTGCAATTGACATTGTTTTGACTACCAGGATCCTTGTTAACTGTAGCCTTAGCTGGTTTTTTCTGTAATTTAGGTTTACGAATGAGTAGGACTTCATTTCATGGTGCATCCTAATTGAAGATTTTATACCACGTAGGGACTTTGTGGTTTAGGGATAAAATGATTTCACTAGAAAAAGGAACAAAATGATTCCTTCTGGTCTTATCTCTGACCTGAGGTAAAGTTCTTCACAACTTATATCTCATTCCCCAGCCTCGACGTGGGGTAGCATCTTATGGCCCCTGTAGAGAAACCCTTACTTCCCCTGTGAGCACGACATTAGGAAGGAGCAATTTCCAATCACAGTCACAAAACTTAGTCTACGTTATAGCATGTGGACTCAGAAAAGCCATAGCTTTCAAAGTCGCTTCATTTCTGTTAAGTAGTGAGAAATTTAAAAGAGCAATTGTTCTGTTTTGAATTGGACCTGAAACAAAAAATTACCTACTCTGGTTCCCTTGAAAATGACCTTATTTGTCATGTGTTCTGGATTTTTGTATCGTATTGACATCCCTCTTTCCCTTGAACATATTTTGATGCTTTCTTTTCAAAGAACTTTAGCTCTGCATTACCTTTAGGGTTTCAGGTAGACGGGGACTGTGCCAACATCTGTGCTCCTTATTGAAGCTATCATTTCACTTTACTTCCTTCTATGCAACACCCAGAGCTAGTGGGCCTTGCAGTCCTATAGCTGGAGAAAATGTAGGCATAATCCCATCCATTACCATTCTGATGGTAATAGTATTATAATAATTAATAGCTATCCTTCTTTGGGTATTGAGTATAAAGCCAGACATTATGCTGGGCATATTGTATTCATTGTCTCTTTCATTTCCTGAAACAGCTTTGGGAAGTAGGAGTTATTATCTCCATTTGCCTATTAGGAAACTTGAGCAAAGACAGTTTTAGTACCTGGCCTCTAGATTCTTTTGATTTCTAACCCCTCGAGTACACAAGGACATTGAGGGCAAGACATTTAACACGGCCTGAAGTGGTAGACTTTTGCAACATGCCATTTCCTTTGCTTGCGACCTCCCATACTCACTCTGCAAGTTCCTGTCTGTCCCTTAGATCCGATGGCCTTTCTCTTCGCAGCTGTCCCTCCTCACATGTGAGGTCAGCTCTGCCACAGTTTTCTTCATTCATGGCCGCTGTGCTGTTGCCTCTATGCTTCCTGTTATGGTTTGTGTCTAAATATCCCTCCAAAGCTTCATGCAGTCACGGCGGGGCAAGCTTTTCAGAGGCGACTGAATCTAGAGTTTGTGATTGATTCCGTGTCCAGTGCTGGGATTAAGGGTGAGAGTGTTGCACCCACCCTAGGGCAGGTAGCCTGCATACAGTATAAGGGACAGAAAAAGTCTTGCCTCTCTCTGCTCCCTTGCTGCTTTTGCTGTCTTTTTGCTGCCATGGACTATCGCCCCTCTGCTATGCCACTCTGCCTGGGAGCCAGCCAGTTATAGGTCAAAACCTGTGCAAACTATAAACTAAATACACCTTTCCTTCCTTAACTTGAGGTGTCAGGTATTTTATCTCAGCAAGGGGGGGAAAGTAACTAAGACATTTCCATATCATTAGCCAGAGTTCACAGTAAAAAAAAAAAAAACAAAAATTGTGTGACTATTTGATTACAGTTACCTCCAAAAGGACAACTGCAGTGCTTGACATTTTTAATTGTTAAGTTTTGAAGAATAGTTGTAGATTTACAGGAGAGTTACAAAGGCAGTTCAAGCAGTTCCTGTACGTTTTGCATCTAGTTTTTGTGAATATTGTACATTAATTCCTATAGTATGTTTGGTACAACTGAGGAACCAACACGGACTCGTTACTATTAACGAAATTTCTCCTTGCTTACTTAGGCTTTTCTTGGCTTTATTCCACATCCTTCTTCCATTCCCGGTTCCCACCTAGGACACACAGCACATCACAGAGGTGATGTCAACTTGGGTGCCTCTGTTTTGTGATGGTCTCTCCATCTTCCCATGGTTCTTCAAGACCTCAACAGTTCTGAGGAAGGTTGTGCTGGTATTTTGTAGAAAATCCATCACTTTGGGTTTATATGATGTCTGCTCATGGTTATGCTGCAGTTAACGTATTTTGAGGAGGCCGCTCTCAAAGGTAAGGTGCCTTTCTCATACATCATCTGAAGGATGCGTGGTGTCAATGTGACGCATCACAGTACTAATCTGGCAGAAGCCTATCCTGCCTCCCGCTGACACACTCCACTCTTTGCAAGTAAATTACTAAGTACAACTCACACTAAGACACTCAAGGTGTCTCTGGGAGAAAATGAGCTCTACTTCTTTGAGGAAGGAGCATCTATGTAAGTTATTTGGAATTTTTTTGTATAGGATATCTTTTCCCTCCCATTCATTTATTTATTCATTGTTTGCATCAGTGTGCATCTGCTGGTATTTATTATACTTTGGGTTGTAATCCACCATTATGCTATATATTTTGTTGTTGAAATTGTTCCAGCTTTGGCCAGTGAAATCTCTTTAGGTTGGGTCCTAGGTATCACGGATATGGCCCTGAATCTCCTTGTTTTTTTACCCCTTTCTTATTTTTTATGGTTAAAAAATACTACAGGCTTTTTTTTTTTTTTTTTTTTGGTATAGGGAAGCAAACTCAGGACCTCACACTTGCTAGGCAGGCACTATGCTGCTGAGCCGTATCCTGGGCCTGTAGACTAATTTTATAGATTTCCCACCCCAGACTTAGGTTCATTCCTCCAAAGAGCCCTTGGTTCCTTTTATTGAAAAGTGACATCTGATGCCAAGATCTGGATGCTGGAGTGCTGCTGGAGTGTCGCTGTTTCCGGGTCCTGCCGGTGAAAGAACCAGGAAATATGTGTCTGTGGTAACCCAGGTAATGTACATAATGTAATTCTTCTCTACCCATCCGGATCTGTATGCAATGAACTGGCGTTCACATCCATGTTGCAGCATCTGCTCTGGTTCCACGTGGCTCACGCTAGCCTTCTGGCCCTGCTTATCTGTAAATTCCTACCTACACTGTGAGGAATTTTGTTCCCACTGCGCACCCCCTTTTACTTATGTGTTCAGTCTCAGAATATATGTACAGAAATTTCATAACTGTGAACCTATAGGCCTGTGAGGAAATTTGCCAACTAGAGTAAACACAGTACAACCTTGTTTATCTTTAGTCTTAACAATTTCCAGTCAAAGCGTCACCGTTTTTCTCCCCCTAGCGGGTAGTGGTGTTTAGACAGGGTCTCATTATACAGTTCAGGCTGGCCCTGAACTCACTATGTAGCCCAGCCTCAAACTGGACAGTCTTCCTGCCTCAGCCTCCTAAGGGCTGAGATTACAGGCATGCACCACCATGCTTGGCTAAAACATCACTTTTTGAAGTAACTGAGGTTAGCATCTCCCCCTTCTGTCTTATTCAGTTTTATTCTTTCCAGAACACAGACCACTGCCTGGCATACAGAAGGCTTTTAATAAGTATTTGAATGAATGAGTGAATGACATGAAAGTTCAATAAAGGTCCCACGTGTTTTCACTTGTAAGCTGGGTAAGTACCTGTAGATGAGAACTGAGGTTCTGAGGACTTAAACACTGTTTCAGATTGCACAGTTTCTTAGTGGTAAAGTTGGCTTCTTCTCTTGGACCTATTTCTCCCTTGAGCATAGGCTAAAAGTATCTGGAATTTGTGGATGTGGGGATGGGATGGCACTGACACAACCAGGAACCTGAAATACTCAGCCTGCCCAAACACCTTGCCACCACCTGCCACACTCACCTCGGAGAATCCCTGCTACTGGGATACAACGAGGATGACCTCAGAAGAACAGCTTCCCATCTTCAGGAAAATTCATCTCCCATCAACGGCAAGTGCAGCTGTAAGGAAGAAACAGGTGGAAAAAATTCTAAGGCTCTTGTCCGTTGCCCTTGGGGAAACTGCAGCACCGGTGGCCGAAGCACACACAGCTGGCCAGCTGCTCAGCCATGCAGGTGGGCAGCACAAACCAGGCCTGCAGGACCTTTAACAGCTGTCATGAGGGAAACAGATGCAGCAAAGGAGCGGGGAGGGGAGAGGGAAGACCAAGGGATCTCACAGGGTTTATCTTGAGGACTGTGACATGAGCTGCTGTCCGTGTGGGTGGGATGATTTGACTGACTGTGTATATTCAAATCCATGGAATGGCAGAGCAGCTCGCCTTTTATAAATCAAGTTTACATTTGGTGCTATAGGGAGAATTCATGAATAAATGACTTGGTTCAGATTTCCATTCTGGAAATATTCAAATGGTAGTTGACACAGATCCAATGGAATATGTTGTCCATAAAAGCTCAAAGTACAAATTAAAATTGTGTCTCTCGAGCTTCCAATGCATCCCTTGACTTCTTACTACAAAGTCTTCAAGCAGGTTTATGATTCTGTTATGTTAAACTCTTTAACGTAAACTTTGACAGAAAGATTCCCCAGGACCCATGAACTTAGCCCTATAGCTACTGTGGTTTTACCAAGATTTGGCAGCTGTGCTTGTGTCTTGAGTAGCTTCTGGTGAGGCTTTGTCTCTTCTACACGAGGCAAAGGGGTATGACTGACCTTAAAGGGGGATATCAGGAGACAGAAAACTGGAGCTGCACGAAACACATATTACGTGTTGTATTTGGGTCTGCCTTTGCTGCACACATATGTACACCTGAGTTTCTTTGGCAGGAGGCAGGGAGGAGAATAGGTGGTGGAAAAGAGGAAAGGTGGGAGAGGAGATTAAGAATTGGCTTTCCTCTCTGAGAGCTGGAGTATTAGCTAGCTATTGTTGCATAACTCAGTGCTCTCAAACCTAGTGGCTTAAAACAGCAAACATTTGTTATCTGAGTTTCTTTAAGTCAGACAATCAAGAGCAGCTCAGCTGAAGGGCGCTGGCTCAGGTTCTGTTGTGAGGTTGTAACCAACTAGTTGGCTGAGGCCATAGTTATCTAAAAGCAGGGCCACGTTCTATTCCCAGCTTGTACATCAGTTGGGGGTATTGGCAGGCAGTGAGGCAAAAGGCTCCGTGCCTTCTAGGCTGTAGCCCTGGAATCACACCGATCACAGTTGCACTACCTGGTCATGTGTATCAGTGCCCTTTTATATGGAAGGAGACCACACGAAGGTCTGACTACTAGGAGCCTGATCTCCCAGCTTGGTTTCAGATCACAAACTTCAAGTAATATTTGCCTAGTCTTCATGCTATTGTGAGACTCAGGTGATACAGTAAATGTAAATGTAGAGATGAAAGAGCACAGGAGTGTCATGTATCATAATGAATGTTAGTTGTAATTTATTAGGGAAAAAATATTCACCGAGCACCTGCCATAGTCCAGGTCCTGTTACATGGTGATGACCAAGACAGATGTGGCCCTGCTTTTATGGGCCTTACGTACAGGTAGAAAGGAGAGACCAGAGACAAATAAGAGAATAAACAATAATTATGAAATCATGTTGGGTTTGTATGTAAGAAAAACCAACGTTGTCTGAAGGAGAGAACCAGGGACTGGAGTTAGCTAGAGGGCCCACAAAAGGCCACAAGCAGGATTAAACTTCTTAGCTGAGATTTAAAGAATAAGATGGAGACGGCCACAGGCTGAGAGCACAGACATGACTGGAATTGGGATCATCAGTAGACAGATATACAGAGCTTCTCGGCTGAGTCCCACAAAATATCAAACTACGTGTTATAAAAGACCAAAGGAGTATGGTTTGCCTGTACTGCAAGGTGTCAGTCATTGTATCAGACAATAGAATTAATATACATATTATATGTGGTATATATGGCATATTTGTAGTTTCTACTGCCAGGCTATATTCCCAGGCTGTGAACTCTAGAATTATGAAGTGGGCCTCTTTTTCCTCCTTTTCAGGGAAAACTACCTATTAACTTCTCACCTGCTGGCACCCAAGAGAAGGAACTTACAAGATAGAGTTTACTTGACTGTGTAAGTGACATCTCAGCATCCTCGGCCAGTGTCACCTCCTCCCCACCGCCATGTTGTCAGTGTTCAAGTTTGGCAAAACATAGGTAAAGTCCTGAGGGAATTTCATGATCATTCGGGGGTTGGGTGAGGGAAAGTGGAAGATGGGAAATGGAGGGAAAGCTCTGTCATAGGATTCCCTGCCAATTTATTCAAAGTCAAACCTGTTACCCAAATTTTTACATAGCTTATTATTTTTTAAAAAATCCCTCAAAGCTGAAGGGATCATTAGACACTGGGTGAGTTCATACTAGTCATATTGAATTCTGGGTTGTCTTCTAGCTAACTTTAAAAACCATGCTCTTGTCTTCATTATTTCATTATTTTGTGGTCAGAGCAACAGAGATAATCCTTCCAATTCTCAGTTTCACCAACGAAACATTAACCTGAGTGCAAAGAAACAGGCTACTCTTGGTTTTGGAGAGAACGAAAGACAAAGAATGTCCACCAAGTCCCGACTCTGAACCCTTTCATCTAAAGTCTAGCAGAAGTGTTTCCTGTGTGAAACAGTTTTACAAACCGATCATTGATAACAGAAGACATTCCCAAGTCTCTTGTGGATATGTATTTCTTCCTTTTTATCTCACTCGCTTTAGACCAAGCCTAACACTGATGTAAAACAACATCCTAGCAGTTGGCAAGAAGCAAGATCAGGGAACACAGAGGCTCTACCAAAAAGAGCCTGTCAACGCCCCCATACAACTTTGTTTTAAATATGTTTTGATGTTGATCTCAGTCAATATAGGACCCAGATCAAAGAAGGCAGTACAGAAAATCACCGTGAAGCCTGGTAGAGCGTCCTAGACCAGGTGAGTCATAGTCAAGCAACACGCCTGACAAATTGTTCCAGAACCATGCTGGAGGAAAGATCATGATGGTTATTAGCTGTCTGACTCAGGGCCATGTAACACCTGGGTCTAACCCGCCACTGTTGATATGTGCCCGGGTTACAGCCACACAGAACACGTGCTCACCCCGTTAGAAGGCTGGCAGGCTGGCGCTGTGGGTGTGGGCATGGGCATCGGCGTTAGACAGACTGAACCTCCACTTCGCTGCTTTTTATAACTTTCTATCACTTGGACAGCAAGTCATGGCTTCCCAAGACCCACTTTCCAGTGAGAATAAGGATAGTATGAGCTTCCTAGACATGCTGAGGATTCAGTGGTACAATCTTGACAAAACCTCTTTCAGAATAAATGCTTAATGCATATTAGGTGTTTCTGTTATGGTATATTTCTACTCACTTTCCTACATTTCAAAGGGTCAGTCACGGCCTATGTGCGGTAACATCCCCTGTCTGTTATCAGCTAAATCTCTACTACTCCTCCTCTATGTGGGTTCGTTGTTTTCACAGCCTATACTCTGTAGACCATAGTTCTAGAATTACACCACTTTTGTGTACTTGGACCACAGCAATAATACCGTTAATGAATGAATATAGATCAGGGCTGCAGTTAAGTTTTAAGAGTCCTGATTAAGTGGAATGTCTCAGAGGCAGCGAAGGCACAGTTTTGGGAAATCACTTCAGCTGTATGGCAATCTTCCTGTGAGCCACTGTATTAGTCTAGGTATCACAGATATTAGCCAAAGAATTTGTATTATTTAAAATTCACCTTAGAAGACTTGGGAACCATTTAGCTGATTGGAAAAGGCAGTGGGCACTTTAAGCTCAGTGTACATTATCAGTGTGGTTTAGACACATTAAAGACCTCTTTAAATCCCAGTAGTTGATGTGGAAAGCATCCAGGCTAACACAATAGGTCACACTTAAATGATTCTCCCCTTAAGAATTAAACCATGCATTGGTGGCAGAAGATAATAAGATGCAGTTCCCCTAACTGGATCTTTCTTAAAGGAACTGACCAGGTAAAAGAATGGAGTTACCATGCATGAAAAAAGAAAAATACGAAAATAATTTGATCTGCTAAAAGAATCAATTTTTCTGTGTACTGGAGCAAAACGCTAACAAGCGTGACAGTGAGCTCTTCTGCTATTGAGACACTCCGTGAAGGCTGTGCTTCTGCACCGAAGGCTTCCGCCGACCAGATTCAGATGGGGGGGGGGTTCAGCCGCCTGATCTCAATCCAAAAAGGGTCGGAGATAGGGTATGTCAGGAACTACTGGGGGCTGAGATTAGTTACGAGATTGTACTGGGGGGGGAGATGATTAGGATAGTGAGGATTTAACCCCCTAGAGAAAGAATATTACTTCTATCTGAGATTGCCAACCACCCCCGCATAGTTACCTGCCCATGGCTCAACTTCCCTCATTTTTAAAAAGAGGACATTTTAGTGATCAATAATATGAAAAGGGCAGAAAGTGAAATGGGGTTGAAACATTTAATTGCTTCTGAGTAAAGTGAGATTTCACCTGGAGAAGGTGGTAGTGACAGGGGTGGAGCTGGGAAGCGGCTCCATCTCTGTAGTGAAGACCGCATGAAGCCACCGGAAAAGCACCATCACATTCTCTGATGCACGGAGAGGCCTAGGAAGTTCTGCATAAATCTGAAAGTACGTCATTGCCTCAAAATAATCATCCAAGACTGCGTTGGTTATGTATGAGCCACTGCTCTTTACACCTGTTTTTCTAGTTAATGCCCACAACAACGCCATAAGGCAAGGGTAGATATTCCCAACTAACAGATTGGCAAACTAAGGCTCAGACAGTAAAAAGGCCACATTCACACAATGCTGAGTGGTAAAGTAAGGGTGTGAATGCAGGACACTCCAATTCTAAGCTGCTTACAGGACGCTCCTGTACGATCGTTTTGGTTTGATCCGGTCTTCCTTGTCCCAGGGTGAGGTGCGGACTCCCAGAGACTGGACACTGTGCCCACCAGGCTTTCTCAGGGAGAGGACTACGCTGTCACACTCTGGTGCTCTGCAATTTAAGTAGTTAACGTGCGTCTATTTGCTGTTTATTTTGGAATATATTGTTCAAAAATTAAAACTTAGATTGTAAGGTAGAAAGAAGATAAACTCAGGATAAAATATTTTATCTGTTTGTTTTTGAGAAAGGGTCTTGCCACGTAGTCCAGGTTGCCCTTGAACTCAAGGCAATCTCCCTGCCTCAGCCTCCTGAGTAAGGGGATTACGAGTGTGTGCCACCATGCCCCATGTGGATAAAATATTTTAAATAAAACTCTCTGATGACACCTGATGCCTGGTCACCATCATTACATAATGATACTGCAGCCCCTGGGAACTGACGCTGCGTGCCAGGAGGGAGGGGGGATTGAGGACACACTACGTATCTATATAAACATTTTTTGTGTGTGTGGAATAAGTTTGTAAGGGCTGTTTAAACTTCAAGATGGAAACTGGAATGACTGATCTTTAGCCAGTCCTGTTGTCTGCCCTCTAAAATTAGTTCGTCAGTACACCCAATTTCTTTCTTTGTTTCTTCCTTTCTTCCTTCCTTCCTTCCTTCCTTCCTCCTTCTCTCCCTCTTTCTTTTTCTTTCTTTCTTTCTTTCTTTCTTTCTTTCTTTCTTTCTTTCTTTTCTTTCCACTACTGGGGTTGAACTCAGGTCTTCATATAAGTGTTCTACCACTGAGCTATATCCTCAATCTTGTTTATTTTTTGAGATAGAGTCTCACTAAGTTGCCCAGGCTGGCCTTGAACTTGCCATCTTCCTGCCTCAGCCTCCTGTATAGCTGGATTGCAGATGTGAGCCACCATGCATGACTACCTTAGCTTCTTGATCAGTGTTAAGACAGGCTTGAATGACACTTTAAGTAAAACCAGAAAATGTAGAAATGCTAACAAAATAAACAGCATGAACAAAACAGAGAAACTGCGGAAACCACAGAATGACTGAGGCTACTGGAAAAGCTGCAGGGCTCGGCTTCCTGTGTCCAGCCTCTCCGCACTGCTGCCCCTGACCATCGGCTCTCCAAACAAAATGCTCCTCCATCTCCCATTCCTGAATGAAACATTCAGAAAAGGGGGCTTCATCCCGTTCTCCTCAATAGTTAGTGAGGCTCCATCTGAAAAAATTTGTCTTCCTACCAAGGATATTTTGAATTCAATAGATTCAAAGGGACCCAAACTCACCTTGCAAATTAAAAAAGAAAGAAAGAAAGCGCATACAATACATGTTTATTTAAGATCTTCTACATAAAGGCTCAGTGCCAGAAAGGACCACAGTGAATATTACTGAGGCTCAGTACTTTAAGCTAACATTTGTTCTGAAAAGCACAGACTATTATGACAAAAGTCTCTGCAGTGATAATGATTCTTTATCCAGTGCTTTAAAAAAAGGAGGAGAAGAGAAAAAGGAAGAGGAAGGGAAGAAAGGAAAAGAAGATGAAAATGAAAAAATTGACAAAGCAATGGCTGGTATGAGTCGAGAGCTTTCAGCCATATTTACACAAAGTATGCACACGGTGAAACCCAGGTTGGCCAGGAAAGATGTATCATAATATGCTCAAATGTCTTCAGCACTGGCGAGCCTCCTGCCAGAATCGTGGAGGGAGGAGGAAATGAACCCAAGTTGTTGTTGTCATCTGTAGTAAGTCAGATGATAGAGATCTGCTCAAATCTGTGAAAATAGACTGGATTTGCTTAAAAGCAAATGGTTTTTGTTAGGGGGTTTATTTTTCTTATGTCAAAAATATGAAATCACACCATGAAAGGAAGTGGTAAAATCTATATCACTCAAAGCCTTGGGGATCTACCCACGAGTTCCCACATGTTCAACAGTTATTGAAAGTGTGATTCTCATTTTACCTGCTAATCCAGTACTTGGAAGTATTCAACAGGGAGCTTAGCCTGCGCCTTAGTTTTGATTTCTGAGGAATTTCAGAGACACATTCTTCTGCAAAATAAACTCAAGCGTATATCATTCAGACCTCATTTTATGACCAGCATTGTTTTATGTGGTTCATCTGCTGTGAGAATAAAACCACACTTTCCAGTTAACATACACCATCTGATTTACAGTTTTTCTGAGGGGAAGTTAGGAAATACCTAATGAATTTGTATACTTCATCTGTATATACATATTTTTAAAAGGCTCTGTGAGGTACAGTAATGAAGCAGGCTTTTCTAGATGAAATAATGGAAAAAGTTCTGCAAATTGGGAAAAAAGCAACTTTGGCCTGAGCTTTTCTGGATAATTTGCTTAAATTTGTCATCCTCCTGCTCTAATTTCACATGGTTTTAAATTTGGACTATTGAATAAAAAATGGGAAGGCACATCACACAAATTTTTATTTTAACATAAATGACCTCAAAGCTGAGAATATAGCTCAGCAGCACAAGTGTCTGCCTGGCAAGCACAAGGTCCTGAGTTCTATTTCTGGTACCAAAAAAAAAACCTCAGCTAGAAGCACAAGTGGATCCTTAAATTTTCATTGCACTCTTTAAAAAGTTTTAAGTATAATAAAATACTTTAAATATTTCAATATATAAAACAAGGCATTAATAGACATTAATGTCTTGATATTACTAGACATTAAGCCAGCTTTTTATTTTTTATTTTTATTTTTGGTACCTGGAATCGAACTCAGGACCTTGCACTTGCCAGGTAGGTGCTTATGCCACTGAGCTATATCCCCGACCCCAAGCCAGCTTTTATTAAGCCATTTTTAGTATTATGTATTTTATGTTTACATACATAAATATATTTTATGTTACAGTGGTGCCTCGGTTCATGAATTTGATTCCACGATTCTGGTTGCAAACTAAATTGGACAAGAACGGGATCCAATTTCCCCCATAAGGTCAACAGTGACCCTAGCCATTGAATATACGTTGTATATGTATGCACATTATAAGGTATCAGCATTTTATACATATACACACATGCATGCCCATTTTGAAGGCAGTATTAGGGAGCAGTTTTACAAGCAAAACTTACTCCCTTCAAGGTCATAGTTGTCCCTTAACTATTCATTACCTGTTTTTTTGTGGACTGCAAAGGTCTTTGGGCCTGGGTGGCTCATTTCCTGGCTCCACAGGGCTGAGCAGACCAACGATTCTTTTACCCTGGAGAGATGGAGGAACCGGTTAAGACAGGACTCATCTGGCTTTCCCCTTGTTCTCCTAGTGACTTAAAGGAGCAATTCAAGGTCTGTTGAGGGACATCAGTGGTATTAGTAACAAAAGGCATCAATTATGCTTTACCTGGCTACAGCGCTCAGAATTTCTATGGGCTTAGCGATTGGGTAATCTCATTTCTGAATTCAAGTGGCAATACTGTGTCTTCAACAGCCAACAAGGCTGAAAGACAAAAATTAAAAGAAAAAATAACTCATTCATTTCTTGGACCAAACAACTGTCTAAACAGTGAATCTCCATTTTCTTATGATATCAGGAAGCACCGGTGAGTGGACTGTGCTCTTGGCATATCATTTTTGTGAGACAGAAAATAAAGATGGTCCTTTCTGCTGATGTGGGGACGTCATCATGGAAACATGCCATCAAAATAGGCCACAGGCACTCCAGGCCACTCTTCCCGAAGGGAGGTACAGAGCACACTGGTGGTTCGGCTGAAGCATTCATCCGGCTTAGTGATTATCTAGCATTACCTCAGTGGATAATGATTTTAATACTTCATAGTACTCATTATGGCATTAGTGGTTTCATATTAATAAAATATTAGTTTTTGTTATTCAGGGAATCTAATACATCAGAGTAAAAGAAAAGAAATAAAACAACCTTAAAGCCTTTGTAACCTAACAAGGTTTTTATATACCAAAAAGGCTTTTCCTTATTGAAACAATTATTTGAGCATTCTACCATCCTATCTCTCTATTCTTAGTGTCTGTTTATTCTGTTTGACCCTTGTGAATACCATACTTTGCCTATAGTTGACGCAGGAAAGAATGTTAGGTTATCTTATTTTAATTTCTCACTTAGTCTCTTTATGCTGCAAATGACTTGATCTTAATGCTTCTCTTTCATTCTATGCAGATTAATTATAAAAGGTACATCAAAAAGTAAAATTCCAGGGATAACCTCACTATATTTGGGACCCACGGGCTTTCAAGGTTATGAATGAACAGACAGTCCTTTAATGGAACATCGCTCACTTTGTTCTCATGACGAAGCATGAAAATTGACAGAGCAGAATACCGTGTCAAGGTTTATCGGAGGTCTGGTAATGTGGGAGAGGACTTTTAATGCGAAGACCAGGAAAAAAATTGCCTGAGGGGAAACCTTTCTTTAAAACTGAATATTTTCTCAAGTATTTTGGAATTTTGAATTTCATCCCCAAATCAAGAAAATATGGAATCTGCATAAAATCTTGGAAGATAAAAATATGTAGCTCAATAGGGTAACTCTAATAATTTGGTTATGGTATTTAGTAAGCACTTATAATTAAAATATGATTGATTATTGATTCAACAACTAACTACTGAGGTGTAGGTACATGTCTGGCGGTAGGCTAAATGTTAAGGGTAGGGGCACAATTGGAAATAAAACACAGTTTCTGCCCCAAGAAGCTGTTTATTCATATAGTTTCCTGTCAGATCTCACACGTGTGTGCCTCATTTTTCAGTATAAAGAGTAACAGCATAGTGTATCTTCCTCATTGAAAGATGATAAGAGAAACCACCCTTTTACAATGACCACAAAATAAAGTATTTGGATAGCAGAAAGTGGTACTGTTAATGATCCTTCAAATTAGTAAGGCTTTGAGGATATAGCAGATCTATTTTTTCTCATAAAATTGGGATGTGTCCAACTGGTGCTTCTGGCAAAATATTTGGAAATCCATTCTTTATGGTTTAATAAAATGAATTTTAGCTATTTTAAAATTTCCCTCAATTTCTTATTTAACCCATTTCTTCCAACAACAGTGGAAAAATACACTCTCAGAGAAATTTGATTCTGCTTCAAGTGACTCAGATGGAGCCTAAGGGAACTTAAAAAAGGATTTACTTTTTCAGTGCATTTTTGGCAACGGAACCAAAAGCTTTGAAAATGCAGAGTGAGCAATACTTCCACACTGTAGGAGTTGAAGAGAATGCTACCAACTCAGAAACCATGCTTTTCAATATCTTCCATTTAGAGAAGCACTAACTTTTAAGAGGACTTAATGTGCAGAAATGAGAAAACCATTGTTGATGGTGGTGTTGGGACATTTTGGGGGGAAAGTAATGACTTACAACTTAAACTTAACATTTATGGAAGTGAGTAGTGGTCTCAGAACAATCTGGACAGAAGAAGCCATATCATGGAAGCTTTGAAAAGAGAAATCAGGGCTGGGTGTGATAGTGCACACCTGTAATCCCAGCACACTGGGAGGCTGAGGCAGGAGGACTACAAGATCATGTCCAGCAGGGGCAATTTAGCAACTTGGCAAGATTGTTCCAATCGAAAAAGTGAAAAAGGGTTTGGGATGTAGCTCAGTGCAAAGGCCCTTGGTTCAATCATTCCTAGTACCAGAAAGAAGAAAAGAGGGAAAGAAGGGAAGGAAGGAAGGAAGGAAGGAAGGAAGGAAGGAAGGAAGGAAGGAAGGAAGGAAAAAGAAAAAGAAAAGAGAGAACAGAGACTCTAAAATATAACTGGTAACCCTTGATAGTATTTTAAATATGCCTTGGAGATTATACTGTAGCACACCAAAGTACAAGGTAAAGTATTCAATATTTTCTGTAGCATTTTTGCTGATTTTTGATACAGTCATACTGATTCATGAAGGTATCGGAGCATTTATGTACCCCAAGGTGAGCCTCAGAATGAATACAATTCACTTCTTTTGCAAGTTTAAAGTTACATATATCAGACGTTGACTTCTGAACCTTTTGCTACTAGACACAAGTGATCTTTGGGATGAACTGATGTTACTCAGTACTTCAAAGAGCGCTGGACAGTTCCTCAGAATCTTCAAACAGAGCCAGCCTCGCAACACAAACAAAAGTGCACCATGTCCTCCGGTGGATGAGGGAGCAGACAACAAGAGTTGACAGATCTGTGTGTCGTGCTGGTCCTAATGCAGCCTCATTGATAATTGCAACTTAGCCTCTATTCAAGCGTATTTAGCCCTATATTTTAATGCAATCCTACCAGCAAGCAAGAGATGTATGTATTTCAGCAATAATGATACTTTCAGTGATCTCAAACTTTCGTATGTGTGCACACGCGGGTGTGCGCACACACACATACACACACATGTGCTCCACATCTGGAAGCCTCTCAAAAGTGCCTCTCTCAATGTGAAAGGAGACACTCAGTTTGAAGAGTATCTCTTTATTACAGAGCGCTACTGTTTTACTACAAATTGGACAAACTCCACCTGCGAGGTTGTGGGTGCTGTTTGTGGTATGCTGGAAGCTTGGACCTTGTTGTGGCAATATTGCGGGGTGGGATGTTTAAGAGGAGGTGCCCACTGGGGGCTTCTTAGGTCAGTGGGAAGCTGCCCCCAAACTGTGAGCTAAATAAATCTTTCCTCCTTTAATTTTGGATGTCTGTTATTTTGTCTCAGCAACAAGAAAAGTAACTAAGCAGACTTTCAGCTTCCAAGACTGTGAGTTACATGCACCTCTTTACTATATAAGGTCAGCTTGCTGCAGATATTGTGTTATGGCACCAGAAAAAGGACTAATGCACTATCTTTGCACATATTCTAACATGCTCTCCTTTTTTTTTTTTTTTTTTCCGGTACTGGGAACCGAACTCACGACCTTGCGCTTGCCAGGCAGGTGCTTTTGCCGCTGAGCTAAATCCCCAGCCCCTAACATGCTCTCCTTTAAGGTACTGATATAAGACTTCTCTGTGTATCACTGAATCACACACTGTCAAATCACTCCTTTCCCTACATTATCATACCAAAGCCTTAGAATTAAATATGTGTAGATTTATATAACTTTGCATTTTTAGAAGACACAAAAACATCCTCAAGAGTGATTTGGGTGCATGAAGACGTGCATGAAGAAATCGTGTCTTGCTTCCTTATAGCCCTTTTTCAAATAAGTCTTTCATATTAGATGTAGTAAACATATGTAAGTGAGCTCTGAGATCTAAAAATTAGGTTGCCCTTTGCTGTTGGAAATCAGTGAGGAGAATGTGGGAATTATGCTGCGGGAAGGCATCATTCCGGCGAGCAACCCCGGCTGGCAAATTCTGATCTACTTGCAACCTGAACTCAATAGCTTGGAAAATAGCAAACCAGTAATTGTGTGAATCCAATCAGGGAACAAAATCACAGAATATTTCAGCAAGTAAGAAAATGGAGTTGTAAATATCAGCCTTGTTTACTTCCCATTACCCCAGCAGGAAGCAAGAAAAGAACATGGTTTAGTGTAATACAGTCAGGTAGGAATTATCACACACAATGAGGTTGAAAATTCTAGAAAAATATTAGGGGGAAAAAAACCCCAGCACCTTCAAAAAACATATTTGGGTGTGGCTCCCCTGTCCCATTTGCCCCACTTGGAAATCACATGTGTGTGGTTAAAGACAAAATTATTTTGAAGTTTATAGCAGTAGCAAGCCTTCCCTTTTTACTCAAGAATAAATTATCTGAATATCTTCGTGAGCCGATGTTATTTTTTCACACTATATAATTTGATGATCGTTTTTGCAGAACACACTAATGGCTGGGTTGTTATTAACAAACAACAACAGCGGAGTCTTGGAGTCATACTTTTATGTCACTCAGTGTGTATTTTGGAACTGAATCTGTGTAACAACCCATTGCCTGTGCACCATTTGCAAATGCTGATCTGAGCTACTTGCATCCACTGGTGTTGGCAGCTGGGCTGTTAAGGACATCAGACACTTCTTGAGAAAGAAAGCTCAACTTTCACCTTTCTATAAATAATAACAATAAATATAAATAAATAAAACAAAAAAATAAGAACAACTAGAATGCAGTTCCTAAGGTTCTTTAAAATTTTAATCAATCATCTGCACCAGTGTTAATCATTTAAAATAAAGCAATAAGGATAACAGTAGAATAATAGGATGTGCTGGATGTAGTGGTGCACACCTGTAATACCAGCATTGAGAGGCTGAGGCAGAAGGATCTCCATGAGTTTGAGGCTAGACTGGGCTACATAATGAGTTCAAGGCCAGCTGAACTACATGTAGTAAGACTGCTTGTCAAAAACATTTTTAAAAAGGATAATAGGCTTATGTGAATATCCCAGTAGAATATTTCATATAGAGAGTCTAAATTCATGTTGTAAAACCACAGCAAAAATATTCTGAAAAATTTCTTCATTTATCCTGGGGTTATAGGCATCATCTATTCATTGTAGCAAAGATCAGACACT